GACAACGAGGAGCAATTCAAGCAAAAATATTTAGTAAATATTTGTATATTAAATTCCATTTAGAAAATAATGTTTCTTTTTTTTTAAATAGATCTTACTGCAGGTGATCGATATGATATTGGACAAACAATTTCATTTCAATTACATGATACATACGAACATATAATTCAATTTCCTGCACAAGTTTTATTAAATTCATTTACTGTTTTACTTGCTACAAGATTAAAACTTACGCAAGAACGTATAAGAAATGTTCTTCTTGGAAAAGATAGCGGTTTGTTTAAATATTTTCATTTAAAATATATATTTTTTGTTGTGTAATTTATATTAGGACGTGCAACTGTATCATTTCAATTATATGAAATGCCATCTCAAACACCAACAAACGAACAAGTTATTCATCATTTAAGACATTTAATTAATAAACAAACATTGAATTTACTCGATCCAAATCGTTGTGTTTTAAATACAGTTATTGGATCAGTAGTTGTCGGTAGGAAAAATAGATATTTACACATATATATATTTGCAATGGTGTTGGGTGAGTGTATTCTAACCATTTAAAATTAATCTACTGCTTGAGATCATTACATACATTTTTTTATTCATTTTATTCATATTAATTATTGAAATATTTGAAATGTAGGTCCTAAAGGTGAACCAGTCAATGTCAAATTATTTCCACAAGCAAGTGGTGATTATATTGGTGAATTCACACCTACAAAAATTGGTATACATAGATAAATGATAAAATTTCTATGATTATTTTGTTTTCTTATTTGTCTAGGTCAACATCGTATCGATATAACATTTGCTAATGTACCAGTACAAGGTAGTCCATTTTTTACCGAAGTTTATGATCCCTCACAAGTACGTATTGGCCCATTACCACGAGATATTATCGCTGCTACAGAAAATACATTTGAAATTAATTTGGACAATGCTGGTAATGTACCATTGGAAATTAAAATTCTATCACCAACAGGTGTTAATGGTACGTAATAATAAACAAGTTTTTGATAGTGTTAAAAGAAAATCAATTCTCTTTTTTTTCTTATTTAATAGTTCCTCTTAAAATTGATGATGCATCATCTCGATCAACAGTTAAAAAAGTACGTTTTACACCTAATGAAACCGGTGTACATTATTTAAATGCTAAATTCGGCTCAGAAATTGTACCAGGTAATAAAATTTCTCTTTCTTTTCTTCAAAAAATAATTTTTGTCAATATTAGGTTCACCAATTAAAATGATGGTCAATGAATCTCGTGTAGTAACAGCCTATGGTGATGGTATTCATCATGCTTTACATGAAAAATCAGCTACATTTATGATTGATACACAAGATATGCAAGGCGATTTAAAAGTCCGTATTGAAGGTATATTAAAATCGTATTTATATTATTGCATATAACAACATTGTTATTGTTTTTTTTTTTGAAAAGGTCCAAATTCAGTTATTAAAAATACACTTGAACGTAATAATGATAATCTTTACAAAGTAACATATGTACCAGTTGAAGTTGGATTTGTTAATATAAGTATAAAATGGAATGGAAAAGATATTGTTAATAGTCCATATAAAGCAGCAGTTACTAATCCAGGTAAATAATTTTATTATGAGAAACAAAAACATTTCTTTTTGATTTTTATAGAACGTGTTCGAATTATTGGCGGTTGGCAATCAATACTTGATTCAGAAGATCGTATGCATATTATTATTAATGAAGAAAAAAAAATTCGTTTCGATGCATCTCATGCTGGACCTGGTATTTTTTATTAATTTAAGTTTAATAAAATATATATGTATGATTTCTTTTTGTTTTTTAGGAACTTTAAAAGCTGATATTCGAGGTATAACCGATGGTCTTCGTGTACCAATACGTATTGATCAACAAGGTACATCTTATACACTTAGTTTTACAGCTATACGAGAAGGAAAATATGATATAACAATAACTTATGATGGTAATCCATTACCAAATATGCCTATACGAGCTAATGCAAGTACCGCAAGTACACATTCAGGTGAACATTTAAAAGTTGAAGTACATGGACGTGGTTCATATGAAGCTAAAATCAATGAAGAAGCAGAATTTACTATTGATGCATCAAAAGCTACAACACATGGATCTGGTATACCTGTTGTAAGATTAACAGGTGTTCAAGCTGATGTTGAAGTTCGTGTTCGACAAATTGAACAAAATATTTTCCATTGTTCTTACGTACCAACAGCATCAGGTAAAATAAATAGAAAAACAAAAAGAAATCTATTTCTTTATTTTTAGGTGCTTATTTATTGAGTGTAACATGGGCTGAACGACAAATTCGTGGATCACCATTTAAAGTTAATGTTTTATCAAATACAAATGTTAATCACTCAGCATCTCGAGTTGTTTGTTCAGGTGATGGTTTAAAAATGGGTATATTAGGTAAAGAAATCAAATGTTTAATTGATACACGTGGTGCTGGTCCAGGAGAATTAACAGCTTATTGTCAAGGTGCAAGTAAAACAGCATTTTGTCGTTTATTTGATCATCGTGATGGAACATTTACATTATATATTAAACCACAAGAGAGTGGAAAACATATATTGACTATTAAATATAATGATGAAGATGTACC